ACCCCCCGCAGGGAAGGTACAAAGGACAGGGAATCGACTTCATTCTTCACGCTCCGCGTATCCCCACCAGCCAGTTCAGAAAAGTTTCCCAGGAGAGCTGACGGGAAAAGGGATGAAGAGACACATACAGTAAAACAAAGCGGACAACCAGGCTGAGCAGAAAGATTTTTGGGAGCAAGGGGAGGTCGGGACATCCCTGGGGCCCGCGGGGAGGCGAAGGTTATTAGAAGGAAGAAGGTGGAGGCAAACCGCCTCTTGGGGCCCTCGTGGCACGCTCTTGGGGCGCGCTTGGGCACTCCTGTGGCCGTCTTGGGGCCGTTTTGGGGCTCTCTTGGGACTCTCTTCGGGTCATCTTGGGAGCCCTCTTGGGAGCCATGGAGGGCCGCTTGGGGCCCTCTTGGAGGCTATCGATCAAATGAGCGGGGTCTTAAATTTGCGCCCCCCACTCCAGAGCCCTCGAAATCGCCTCTTGACGCGCTCTTGGGGCCCTCTTGAGGTCCTCTTGGGGCGCTCTCTTGGGGCTCTCTTGGGAACCCTGGAGGGCCTCTTGGGGCCATAGTAGAGGCTATCGATCAAATGAGGGAGGGTCCTAGATTCGCGTCCCCCCAAGAGCCCTCGAAAGCGCCTCTTGACGCGATTATGGGGCGCTATTGGGTATCTCTTGGGCCATCCTGAGGCCTCCAAACCGCATCGGAAGCGAAAAGGCGAGAAGGCACACATCATTGATTTTCCGTTGGTGTTTGAATGATTTGGGCCTCTTGAGGGGGTCCTGAGGGGGTTCCGAGAGCACTTGAAGCCGTCTTGTGGCCCTCGTCGGGCCTCTTGAAAGTACGTCGGAACAGTCAGTGGACAAACTATTGCAAGTTTTTCGAACGCTCTGGGAAGCAGCGTGCTGATGTGAATCAGATTCACTCGACCTCTGAGGAGCCCCCTCACCCTCGCATTTCAATGCTGACTTGCATAAGTTTGTCCTCCAGGACGGGGGGCGCCTCGCCGACGCCAACCTTGACATGTATGGGGCAGGGGGGGGGGGCGTCGAGATTTTGACGCCGTCCATGTGCAGCCGCATATGCGTCCACGAACAACTTGCATTTGTTCGCCCACCCACCGAAGCTATCTTGAACCATCGTCGGCTATCTTGAGCTATCTTGGAGGCCATCTTGGAGCATCGGACGCCCTCTTGGAGCCATCTTGGGCCGTCTTGGGCGCCCTGCCACTTCGCCCCCCCCCCACCCCCGAAACAGAAAACAATTCCGGAGGGGGAGGGGGAGGCTACCCCTCCCCTCCAGGGGATATGTGTTTTTGTAAGAGGACAGCAGGAGCTCGTTGGACCTCCGCTGGTGGGACTACGGCGGTCCCCATCCTTGCTCCTCAATCTCCGTGGGGCCGACGACGATGACGACGACGACTCAAACGGAAAAGCGTCTCGCGCACGCCGAAGGGTCGGCGGATCCAGGTGCTAGCGACCAGCTCCGCCACCGTGCCGCGGCGACAGCACACGATGCGGGATGAGTATACCAAGTGTCTCCAAAGATGTTCGGCAAGACCATCTTCGGGGGCGTCTGGGAAGTAACGACACGATGTTTTGGCGCGGCGTGGCCGTAGCGTTGCATTGCCGTTGCGTTGTTTACCAGGGTGTTCCTCGGGGGCCGCGGGAGCCTCCCTTGGGCTTCTGGGAGGTCTCTCGTGGGCCTGTTGAGGGCTGTGGGGCTGTCTTGGGCGCGATGGCTCTACCGAGCTCTCTCGAAGAGGCTTATGTTGGTGCTTTAATGGGGCTGTTTAGGGGCAATCTGGATGGCTTCTCGTACCTTCTGGGGCCGCCTCTTGGGCCACATGAGGCCGAAATGCACTGGAGGCCACGCACAAGAAAAACACAGTTCCGAACGCGTCGCTTGTCTCCACCAGCCCATCCAACGACTCGTGCATCACTCACTTGTTGGGTGATCTGACGTTCAATGGTCTTGCCTGGTGTGGTCAGGTGTCGTCTGGAAGTGGCGCAGAGCGCTGGAGAGCAAACGGAATGGGGGCCGTGCTTGACAGGGGTATGCGGGCGGGCAGGGTGCTCGATACAAAAAGCAAACAGGCGATGTCAGACAACTAACAGGTATTGTGGAATGCCCCTACGGGCTGTCGGCACGGGAGCGAATGTTGTTTTATCGTGGACTATTGGGTGCTCGCGACGGTCGGCGTTGCTGTTCGAATTCTTCGCACTTGCAGCATGCCTGCGTAGCCAGACATGTTTGCCAGCGTGGACTCGAAAAGGTAGGTTGTTGCATTCTCTCGGAGAGGCCTTCCGCCCGGTTCCGCCGACCCTGAAGGGGGGATCGGGAGGCCTCGGAGGGCCGCGAGCGGCGTGGACTCGAAAAGGCAGGTTATCGCAGTCTCTCGACGTGCAACACATCGGAGAGGCCTTGCGGCCGGTTCTGCCGATCCTGACGGGGGGATCGGGAGGCCTCGGAGGGCCGCGAGGGAGTCGAGAAGCGCGCACGAAGGCAGGCCGACGATTGTCCCAGATCGGGCTGAAGAGCACCTCGAGGTTGGAGCGGGGACAGAACACCGTGCCACCTCTGTCGAAGACGCCTGCGGCAAGTCACCGCCGCCCCTGCCTCTTGGAAACCCCCGTGCGGCCAAGCGTTGAGCCGAAGTCTGGCCGTCGAGGGCCGCTCGGGGGCCTCGTGGGGCCCCCTCGGGGGCCTCTGCGGTCCCGGGGGTCATCTGGGCGCAGGGCTGGCAATGTCGGATGCAGAAGAGGCCCATGCCAAGAAATCGGGCCGAACGAAAGGGGGGGATAGGGAAAGGGGGGGTTACGAAATCTGCTGCATGCAGCTGGTTTCGGCCCCGCCGCCAGGCCCATTCCTCGATACATGGGCGCCTCCCGGCGCCGGGAGGCGCCAGGAAAATTAGCTACGTGAGCCGATTCTCACCCCCCCCCTTCCCCTTTCGCCCGGCCCGAAGAAACACCATCATGGTTGCCTCCAGGGTACCCTGGGTTTCTTGGGTTTCGATGGTTCTGCTGTGGAAAGCGTGACGTTCCCACACCAAACATCGATGAACGTCCTCTGGGGTCTCAGGGTTGGGTTTCTTGTGGAAGGTTTCTTGTGGACTGGCCTCCACTGTAGTGTTCCCCCTCTCGGACCCCTCATGGGGCCCTCTTGGACCGTCTTGGGGGGCTCTTTGGCCCTCTCGGCCTGTCTCGTGGCTTTCGTTGGGGCATCCTTGGGCAGTCTTGGGATGATCCCTGGGACCTCAGTCTTGGGGCATGGGAAGGCCGAAAGAAGCGAGATCTCTCTCTCTCTCTTTTTTTTTTTCTCTCTCTCTCTCTCTCTCTCTCTCTCTCTTTCATTGTTCAATACCATGAGAAATTCATTGGGGTACCATCATGAGGGTCCTCTTCGGGGCCCTCTTGGGCCGTCTTGGAGGCCCCTTGGGCCGTCTCGGGGCCATATGGGGCGTCCTGAACCGAAGTTGCCGACTGAGGTCCACACTGGCCCAAGGAAGACCCAAAGGGAGGGGGCAACTTTTCCCAGAAGGGGAATGATTTGCCAAGGCGCTCGTGTTACTGAGAAAAACGGGGGGGGGCACACACACACACAAACACACCCTGCGACCCCAGCCCCGACGGGAGAGGGATCAAGGGCAAGGAGCTTCTTTTCGGCGCAATTGCGACATTGTTCGATTCCGACTCGGAGCGTCTTCCAGGACCACTCGGGGACGACGAGACGACCCGCCCAGCTCTCCCCCTCACACACGTCCACAGGGTCGGCGAACTTGGTGCAATGTGCGTTGTGCAACCTCTGTGGTGCAAGATATGTGGTGGAAGTTTTGTGGTGCAGTGTCTGTGGTGTCAGGTATGTCGTGTGAGGCACGCGGTGCAAGCCACGCGGTGCAAGCCACGTGGTGCAGGCTACGCAGGCCGTGTGATGAGCCATGTGGTGCAGCGTGATGTGGAGGAAGCGGATTCTGTGGTGCCAGTTGTGTGGGGCAAGCTGTCTGTGGCAGGCAGCGCGATGCTCCCACGGGCGGGCATGCGGCGCCCGCGAGGCGCCCGCCCGCGGGCGCCGACCGGGCGCGCCCACCCAGCGCACAGGGGCGCCCTCGGGGCGCCCACGGGCAGGCACCGAGCGGGCAGCGGGCGGAGCCCCGCCACGGCCGCCCAGGCATGGAGTCCAGGCCTCCCAGATCTCGGAGGCGGGAAGTTCTCCATGTCCACCGCTTGGAGGGCCAGTTTCGGGAGACTCGGCAGGCAGTGGATCTGGAAATGTTCGGGCCCCCAGGGGCCGAAACATAGCCACATCCACCGCCCGCTGGGGCACGAGGACGTCGGTTCACAGGCGGTGGATATGGATAAATCCCCGCCTCGCACAGATGGGGTCGGAGTAGGCAGGGGTCGGAGGATCGCGCCGCATCGCCGAGGCGTCGCCGGTGCGGCTCGATGTGAAGCTCGATGTGCTTCACGTCGACGTCGCCGATGCATCGCCGACGTCGACGATGCGTCGCCGCTGCATCCCCAATGCATCGCCGCTGCATCCCCAATGCGGCACGATCCTCCGAACCCATCTACTCCCCCCATCTAGGAGGCCTCTATTGAGGTAGCCCGAGGGAGAGCCCCGAAGCTCAAGCATCGCTTGGCGACAAACGCTGGCAAGGGCCCGCGCGGCCCGCGCCCCGAAGTGTGTGCAGGCGCTGCGCCCCGAGCCTCGAAGTGGGGCTGCTGGCCCACCCCCTCCCGCCTCCCCGCTCCCTCGCTGCGGCCGGCTTGCTCGCCAGCTTCGTTGCCTCGATACGCCCGTTTTGAAACGCAGCACGTCCCGTGTTGAAGACGTCCGTGCCAACACGTTGCGTGTTGGCTCCCCACGTATCGGACCACGTTTTGGCGAATGTATCGCGTCGGACCTACGTTTTCGGTCTACGTGTTGAGCTCCGTATCAATACGGTACGTGTGGCGTGTTGCGTATCGGGGCAGCCGAGCTCGCCGGCTGTCCTGGCGCGGCCCAGCCCAGGTGCTCCGCGACAGGAGCGCCATCATCCGGGCGTCAGCCCACGCGGGCTGCTGAGCACCTCTCGGCGTGATCGCTCCGCCCCGCCCGGCTTTTTCTCCCCTTCCCCTGCTCGGCGGTCTGAGGCTGGGGCCTCGAGGGACGGGGCCCAAGGGTCGGGAGCGGATCACAAGCGGAACCCTCGCTGCTGGAGCTTTTCGCCCTTCGTCAAGCAGTGGCGAGGCGTCCCGACTTGCCTTTAGGCCCACCGAAGAATGTTCTAGGAATCGTCTGTGGTTTGCACGAGATGTTCTTAGAACCTTTCAGGCTGATGCTGTCGTGTTTCACCCCGGGCTTATGAGCCCTGTCTTTTTTTTGGACCATGCCTTTGTTCTAAGGACATGTCGTGGGAGGCCTGCAGGAATGCCAGGACGGTCGCTCCCTGCTCGGCTTCGGGCCCCGCCCCTCGGAGCCTCTTGAAACCGCCGCCCTGCCTGGGCCGCATGCGATTCGATCCGATGCGATTCTCGCTCCACTGGCCAGGGTCGCGATTCCGATCCGACTCGAGTCGGCTTGATTCACCGGCATCGGCAGGGACCAGCTGAGCGACGCCAAGAAACGGTGCCGTTTGCGCCGACATTGGCGCGTAAGCTGCCCGCGTTAGCGCCCTCGTCTCCAATGCAGCGTGCCGCGCGGGCGGCCCGCGTAAGCCACCGCGTAAGGTCGCTACGCCATCTCGCGCAAGACGCGTTTTTAATGGCCGCTCAGCTGGAGCCATGAGCGGCGATCCGATTTCATCTCGCTTCGGGACGACTCGCTGACGATCCGATCTGTTTCCGCTCCGATTCGGTTTCGCGACTCGATCCGCCTCAGGCCGACCTGCGCCGCGCCGCTCTCCTGTCAGGGAGTTGCTTCAGGTGCCCCTGGCCCAAGGTGCCCCCGAGGAGGAGGAGGAGGAGGAGGAGGAGGCGGAGGAGGAGGAGGCGGAGGAGGAGGAAGAGGAGGAGGAGGAGGAGGAGGAGGAGGGGGGAGGGGAGGAGGAGCAGGAGGAGGAGCCCGGGAAGTGCTCGGGCTCCTCCCCCTCCTCCTCCTCCTCCTCCTCCTCCCCCTCCTCCTCCTCCTCCTCCTCCTCCTCCTCCTCCTCCTTCTCCTCCTCCTCCTCCTCCTCCCCCTCCTCCTCCCCCTCCTCCCCCTCCTCCGGAGGCAGGGGCGGCCTCTCAGAAAACCAAAAGCTTCGAAGAAATCCCGCCACCTTCGAGAAAACCTACCCCGTCTCACAAAGCGCGGGCCAAGCGATGTTTCAACGATCCCGTTCTGCAGCAGAGGCGGAGCGAAGACAGGGCGAAGGCAAACGAAAACAACGCGAAAACGAAGGCCACTGTTCAGCTCGAGCCCTGCCCCCTCACCTCCTCAGCGCAGGCGCGCCGCCGAACCTCGGGGCCACCCGGGGGCCTCCTCGTCGCCTCGGCCGGGCTCGGCCTAGGGCCGCGCACGGGGGAGCCCGGGGCCGATCCCGTGAGGGGTCTCGGCCCGGGGGGGGGGGGGGGAGCGGGTGTTGGGGGCCCGTCCCAGACGAGCAGGGCGAGGCAGCCCCCAGGTCTCTTCGAAGAACTTGGCAGCGCTCGGACGTGTGCATGTTTTTCTCGGCGAGGACCGTGGAGGAGCGTCCTGGATCATCGAGCAACCAAAGACACGCACGAAGCCGAAAAATGCACAGGGAATGGACGTCCGAGCAATGGCAAGAGAGAAGGAAAACGTCGGGGGGGGACAGACCCCCCACCCTGACACGTCGATTAGTGAAGTGTCCGTTTTCGGTTCTCGAGAGGGCGCTGCAGCCGTCATCTTCCAGGCTTGCGCCCGCCAGATTTGGGTCCGAGGTCGTTTTCGCTGAGCTACGTTTTACTGAAGGGGGTTCTGTCCATGGCACACACACACACAGCAACTCTCCGCGCGGGTTTCTGTGGAAGTGGGCTGGGCCTGCGTGCACACAGGGCCCGTCGCCCGGGCCGCGGGGAAGAGAAGGGGGGAGGAGGGGAGGGCAGAAGGACGAGGGGGGATGCGCGTCCCGCCAGCACGCTTCCCAGTCGGTCGAGGAACAGAAAACGGCATAAACATAAACTTTCGGCGCTCCGCGCGGATTTCTTGGATCTGTGCTGGGCCCCCCTGGCGGCGCCTCCAGCGCCGCTCCTTGCGCGCTCCGCGCGCCAAGGATGGGGGCCCAGCGCAGATCCCCCAAATCCGCGCGGAGCTCCACCAGTTTGGGATTTCTGCCGTTTGTTTCTCCCTCTATTCTCCAGCAGGTTTACCCCCCCGAAGGACCTCCGAGCTGCACCAGGGTTGCGTGGCGTCTTGCGCCAGCATCTCGTGAGCGCCCGCATGCACCCCCCTCGCGACACGGAGCCTCTATCTTTATCCATCTCTCGCAGCCAGAAGGCTGCGCGAACCCCTGTCGAATCAGTTCTCGTGGTCCCGAGGGCGCCGACGCCCCGCCCAACGGCAACAGCTCGACAAGAGCACTCAAGCGGCGGCCCTCGTGCCCCGCTTGGCTTGTAGCTTGTGGTGCCTCGACAGACTGTGTTTTTGGGCAGAGGCTCCGGCCCATGCGGGGGGTGGTGGGGCGCAGCAGGGTGAGAGAGCACTTCGAAGGCACCTCGGGAGCTTCTCACGGGGAGCCCCGCGCCTCTTCTTCTGAGGCTGCTCACCGTTGGCTGCGCAGCATGCCGCACAGCGCTCGCTGTAGATGCACCCGTCGCTGCCAGAGGATCTCGATCCTGCCATCGTGCAGGGAGCGGGGTCGACACCATGCCCGTCTCGTATGGGCGGCCCAGGGTCGGGCAGCAGACGGCGAAAACTCTGGAGCGGAAGTGGGCCTGCATGCACACAGGGCCAGGCGCCCGGGCCGCGGGGGGGAGGGGGGGAGGAGGGGAGGGCGATAGGACGAGGGGGGACGAGTTTCCCGCCAACACGCTTTCCAGTCGATCGAGAAACACAAAACGGCATAGATATCAACCTTCGGCGCTCTTCGCGGATTTCTTAGATCTGCGCTCGGCCCCCCTGGCAACGCCTCCGACGCCGCCCCTGGCGCGCTCCGCGCGCCAGGGAGGGGGGTCCAGCGCCGATCCAGCAACTCCGCGCGGACCGTCCAGAATTTTCATTTCTGCCGTGACTTGTTTCTTCAGTCCCGCCAACACACTTCCCAGTCGGCCGGTCTGTTCCAAGCCGCTCGGTCAGCGTGCTTCGGCTTCCCCCGTGCTCGTCCGCAGGCTTTTTGTTTTTCTTTCTGGCAGCCGGCGTGCGCCCCTCTCGAGGACGGGCGCGCCTGGCCAGGCCCCCAAGGCTGGCCTAGCGAGGCTTGCGGGCAGGAATCAGGAGAGGAGGCGCGTTCAGGGGCAACGTGACCCGAAGAAGAACAAAAATGCCGTAAACACAAGCCTTTGACACTCCGTGCAGATTTCTTGGATCCGCGCTGGGCCTCCCGGCGGCACCTCTGGCGCCGCCCTTGGCGCGCTCCGCACGCCACGCGCCAGGGAGGGGGTCAAGAAATCCTCGCGGGATGCCACAAGTTTATGTTTATGGCGTTTTGTTATTCTTCTAGTGACGGGGGGAATACAGCCAACCCGCATAGTAAGGATGAGCGACTTTCCAAGGTCACCCTTGCATCCTTCCCCTTCGGCCCATTCTTGGCCGCTTTCGCTGGCCGCGCCCCGCTGGCAAAGCGTCGACATGGCCTTCCAAGGCCCTTGCACCCTTACCGCGCATCCTTGCTGTTTGGGCTGACGGTAGTCGGCTGCACGCAAGAGGGACCTTTCGCTGGAGCGACTTGTGGTGCGGACACACTTGGGGGTCCCCAGACGGTTGAGCGCCATGAGATTCAGGAGGGGAAAAACACACAGACACAATTAATCGTCGATTCCCAGGAAAAGATTAGAAAATATGGGGAGTGGGGGCGAAGACAAAAACCAAGAAAATATAGGAAAATATGGGGAATCATTTTGTTTGTGTGTATTTATTTGTGTGTGTGTCCCAGGGCCCCTTCAGAGACGGCAGCGGCCTGCGCGCGCTCGGGTTCTGCCCCCCCCCCCCCGCGCCCGAAGGCCGCGCACCAGAGGCCACCCTTGCCGGGGGGCCACTCCTTGCGCGCAGCCGAGATGGGCTCAGCTCGGGAGGGGAGGCCTCGACCCCCAGTCGCCCATCACCCCTGGCTATGAGAGGTTGACCCGGTAAGTGCTTTCAGGCCGGTTCAGTCGTCAACAGGTAGGGGGTTAGTGGTGGAACGTTCCCGCCGTTATTCATTTTTCCAGCGGGGTCAATTTCGATCGGACTCCCCGTCATTTCTCCCAAGTGGGTTTGTCGCCCATTCATTGCCGGCCTTGCGGAGCAAATTCAAGTTCTCTTCGGGTGGGCCTGCGCTCCTCTCAGGGACGGAGCGGGTCCCCGGAAGCCTCCAGGCTCCAGCACGCGGGGAGGCGTCCATCCAGGGGCTCGAAAGCCGCAACCCATCGAGCTTCCAACCTCCATTCTTGAGCTCTGCATGGTTTCGAACGTTAGAGATGTGCCTGGAGGCTTCGGAGCTATGGAGGGTCCACGGGACACCTCGCGAGGACGTTCAGGCCCGACTGGCGGTGGGCCCCAAAAAGAGCGTCCGGAGGTCTTGCCCTCTCGGCCACGTAGCACCAGTGCGGGGAGAGGCGTCAGCCGCCGTCGCGAGGCGCCGATCAGCCACCTGCACGATTCCCGGCCAGGCCCGCCCTGGGCTCGCGATCGGAGGATGCGCCTTGCTGGTTTCACCGGGACGGTACAGTGGAGGACCATGCCAGGAAACAGCCTGCTCGCCTCCAGGATGCCCTGGGTTTCGTGGGTTTCGATGATTTTGCAGTGTAAAGCGTGACGTGCCCACACCAAAAGTCAGTGGACGCCTTGGGGTCTCAGGGTCGGGTTTCTTGTGGAAGGCTTCTTGTGGTCGGGCCCCTATCGTACGTACACGGATTCTGGACCCAGCATTTGGGCCTCCTGGATGGTGTCGGAGGATCACGCCGCGTCGGAGATGCATCGGCGATGCGGCTCAATGTAGAGCCCGA